CATGGTTCGGTAAGACGCAGGCCATCTTTACCTTGCGTGTCTTTAATGTCGACTTGGTTGACTGTCCAGTGCGACAGGCAAGGTTTCCAGCTATTGTGATTTCAGTAGCGTATAAGTGACTGCTTATTTAAATGGGTTTGTTGAGGGTTAAGGTACCTGTCATTGTTTCTGTAATGATCTATGACCATCTGCCTGCCTGATGTCCGCTGCTATTGGGCATTAAAGAGCAGGTCAGTCACAGTCCTACTGCAGCAATAAGCAAGCAGGGCCAGAGGCCCAGAGTATCTCATCTCATGCTGCTGAGTGGCACAGTAGCATTTTGTGCCAAACAAATGGAGCGTTTTTACAAAGAAGGCCTGAATGAGCCTGTATTCTGTAGCCTGAACTCCTGCAGTGCCGCCTTCTCTGTGGTGATGAGCAGATTTTTGGGAGCATCGTGAATTGAGCCTCGCAGAAAGCACTGTGCAGCCTCACATAGAGCACCTGCCTTTGTGAGCCGTTGGAGCAGAACGCCGCTGTCTGCTGTGCGATTGCGTCGGGCCGGCTCACGTGCCAGGTGGTGACCAGCGTTCAGTGAACTCGTGATGGTTAAAAGGTGACACACTGTAACTGTACTGACTAACACATTTTGCATGTCCAGAGCACTAACAATGTTAACGTATTTATGGAGAACAATTCATTCAGCTGTGTTGATGCTAAGGTCTCGTGCCCGTGACAGGAGAGGCACACGCTGTCCCCAGATCAGTTTCTCCTCTATCTATCTATACTTTTCCAATAAGCACTTTGGGACAGCGAGAGACTATTCCCCGCCCCTTCCTCTTATTCATATTTTACAGCACAAAATTCTGTTACATTTCCCATTGTACCACCATTATTGAATCATTGCCTTTGCACTGTTTTCTTTTGTTTGTTTTACACACCAGTTAAGGTCACAATAAGCCGCATAACCCAACCAGAATCACCTGATCATCAAGCAGCAGAAGCGTTCTTCGGTCCCCAATAAGAGACTAGCCAATAGCCGCACTGACATCACTTCCTGCGTCTGGCCCATTGTGGCCGTATGAAGAAAAGCCGCATGGCCTGTTAGCATGCTATGCTAAGATGGGGACCGCATCGCTTTGCAGTCCAAGCAAGGCCTCCCATCTGCAGTCCTATGGGCTCCAATTCATTTATCCAGCAAAACAAACGGTAGAGCCAATAACATCTTTTTCATGCCAAATATAAATATTAGTTGCTGTTTTCTAGGACACAGAGGGACTCTTCTGGCAGCCCCCTTCTGTGCTGCAAATCTGATTAATAGAATTCTGAGGCACACAAGATACTTTTTGCCTGTTTTTTTTTTTTTTATCAAAGATAAATTAACCTTTTTTGTTAATAAATTTTTAACAATGGTCTGTGAAAAACATACAGAAATATCTGGAAGTTTGCAAATTTCATTTGACCACTTTCTTTCTTTTCGTTTTTCTTTTCTTGCTTTATGTTCTGCTGAGTTCTAATTTCATGTCCGTTTGTTGCTTTACACAGTTGCAGTTACAGAAGACCCAGTATTTGCAGTTAGGGCAGAACCGTGGACAGTACTATGGAGGATCGTTGCCCAATGTTAATCAGATTGGAAACAGCAACATTGACCTACCCTTTCAGGTGACCTTTCTCCTATTTTATTAGCTTGTACATTCGTTTTTATATCAGCAGATATGCATACTATGGTGGACGGCTTCTGTCAGCGGTCGCCTGCTTGATGACTGTATTAAATTCCATGACCTGCTTTATGGTTCCTTGCGATTAAAAGCAGCACTTTGCATTGGAGGGGATCCTAATTCTCAAGAAGGAAGGACGATCTGATGTAACTGCAGATCCAGCCATTGGCCTCTCCTGCGTCTTTAGGCTGACTGGCAGAACACTCTTTTCATTTTTAAGCTCTGCTGGTAGCCAAGCCAACGATTCTCGTCCTCCACGCACAAGCCTGGGAGATTCTTGCATAGAACCTTTTTTTATAGATGGAAGATAAACTTTGCAAATGGAAAAAGAGCTTGCTGCCAAGCCGGCCCCCGGCCCGATGTCATGGACACATGACAAGCAGCTTGTGTGTGTTTCCCCCTCCCCACCGATAATGTAACTATTTGTGCATCAGCTGAAGCTAGAGAGGGGCGTCCATGCTACGGATTTAGGCTACATTCTTCACTGCTGTTTCTCTCCGTTTGATGACACATGTGCAGTAATGTCTCCTGTTATTTGGTTATTCTTGGCCCTAACAGACTCCATTCCAGACTTCAGGCTTGGACACGAGCCGTACGACTCGGCACCACGGCTTGGTGGATCGGGTGTACCGCGATCGCAATCGGATCACCTCGCCACACCGGCGGCCCCTATCTGTGGACAAACACGGCCGCCAGATATCCTTTGTGACATCTGACTGCCCCCCCCCGGGTGTGTGGGAGTTCCTCTTGGGGAGATGGCCCCAGGGATCGCTTCTGATGTGCTGCTGTTAGCTTGTGTGCTAATGCAGCCTGTAGCTGAAGCTGTGTGGAATAGAGAGTTTTTTTGTCTCTAAAAACGCCAGTATGAGCACAGTTTCCCCACAAAGACACATAAGTAAATACCCCATATCCAGTTACATGGCTTCCCTGGAGTCTAGTTGGTCTTTGTTCTTCCGTTGGTCAGCAAGTGGTGTATGTCTGCCTGACTGTCTGTCTGTTTCTCTCTGTCTGCCTGCCTGTCTATTTCTGTCTCTGTCTGCATGCTTCTGTCTGCCTCTGCCTACCTGCCTGTTTCTGTCTGTCTGTCTTCCTGCCTGTTTCTGTCTGTCTGTCTGCCTGCCTGTTTCTGTCTGTCTGCCTGCCTGTTTCTGTCTGTCTGCCTGTCTGTTTCTGTCTGTCTGCCTGCCTGTCTGCCTGCCTGCCTGTTTCTCTCTGTCTGTCTGCCTGCCTGTTTCTGTCTGCCTGTTTCTCTCTGTCTGTCTGCCTGCCTGCCTGTTTCTCTCTGTCTGTCTGCCTGCCTGCCTGTTTCTGTCTCTGTCTGTCTGCCTGCCTGCCTGTTTCTGTCTGTCTGTCTGTATGCCTGCCTGCCTGTTTCTGTCTGTCTGTCTGTATGCCTGCCTGCCTGTTTCTGTCTGTCTGCCTGCCTGCCTCTGCCTGCCTGTTTCTGTCTCTCTGCCTGCCTGCCTGCCTGCCTCTCTGTCTGCCTGCCTGCCTTTCTGTTTCTGTCTCTTTGTCTGCCTCTCTGTCTCTGTCTGTCTGCCTGCCTTTATGTTTGTCTGTCTGCCTGCCTGCCTCTCTGTCTCTGTCTATCTGCTTGCCTGCCTCTCTGTCTCTGTGTATCTGCTTGCCCTCCTTTCTGTTTCTGTCTGTCTGTCTGTCTGCCTCTGTCTGTCTGCCTGCCAGCCTCTCTGTTTCTGTCTCTCTGTCTGCCTCTGCATGTCTGTCTGTCTGTCTGCCTGCCTGTCAGCTATGAATTTAAATGCTTTGACCATTGAGGACCAAAGTTTTTTTTTGTCTTTGACACTATAGTCAAATTATCCTTTAATACAAACACAATTGTAGTTGATTAGCAATTTTATTTAATTGTGAACAAAATAATTTAAAGCAGTGAATAATTAATGGGTTACATAGTCATACTTGTTACCCAGTAGTTTGCAGCTCCTTAGTCAGTGTTTTCACAGTGTGGTGCCATTGTCTAGATCTAAGAACAATAGTACCGTTTAAAGCTTAAATGGGCCCCCGGCTCCCATTACTGTCACCGGTTAGTTTTACCTAACATTGTATTAATATAGCATAAAACATACAGCAAACTGCCTGTTTGACCAGTAGTAGGTCAAGATATTGAAAGTGTCCTTATCAGAAATGATGGTTTGATGTCATGTCATGCTAATTTGTTCTGAAAGTAGACTTTTGGTATTTAAAATGTAGCTGGTCTCGATTAAAATGCAGTGTAGGTGTTTAGCTTGCATAAATTATTTATTTTATGATGCATTAATGGCAATGATGTGGAATGAAATCAACCATTTAATACTGGGTTTTTTAATGAATAAAAACACAGATGCATTGGTTTGGATTAAATTGTCATGCTTGTATTGTGGAAGGCAGGCTGGTTGCATGTTGGAAGCTCCTCATGGGGTCAGTGAGACAGTCGTCAAGGGCAGGCGCTGTGCAGCCTTGGGTCAGGGTCTCCACGGCCTTGGGGCAAGCGCTGTGCAGCCTTGGGGCAAGGTCTCCGCGGCCTTGGGGCAGGCATTGTGCAGCTTTGGGGCAGGCGCTGTGCAGCCTTGGGGCAGGGTCTCAGCAGCCTTGGGGCAGGGTCTCCGCGGCCATGGGGCAGGCGCTGTGCGGCCTTGGGGCAGGGTCTCCGCGGCCATGGGGCAGGCGCTGTGCGGCCTTGGGGCAGGATCTCCGCGGCCATGGGGCAGGGTCTCCGCGGCCATGGGGCAGGGTCTCCGCGGGCCAGAACACAAGCAGTTTTTACTGAGAGAAAAGACTTTACAAAGATTTATGTTTATAGCACAATTAGATTTTTAAAAATGTAAAGTCAACAGTCATATTGTGAGCAGGACACTGTGTAGAGCTGAAGATAATGTAAGCATAGGCGGTCAGTCTAATAGATGTCACGCACAGGTACCCCCCCCCCCCATTATCAGGTTACGTGTGCCCCCTTAACTCTGCCGCTCACATTGACAGCTGTCCCTATGGATCAGTGTACCTGTCTCCTCCGCCTGACACGAGCTGGAGAAGGTAAGGCTGCACACTGCATTCTGCACACTGCATTCTGCACACTGCATTCTGCACACTACATTCTAAGTGCCCCTCATTCTGCCAATTGTTGCCATTTTTTTCTTTTTCTTTTTCATTTTTGACTTTTTCTCCTCACCCAAATTTTAGCCCACTTCGGCTCCTGACCTTGGCGGTGCCCTAAATAGCAGCCGCTTTGCGCCTTGTGACTCTGATTTACGCTCTCGTTTGCTCTGCTCCATGTTGGGCAGCCCAGCCCATTCCGGCAAGCCGTGCCTAACAGTGCCCTGCACTGGCCTTGGCTGAGGGGAGCCTGGCTCTCCCTCCCCAGGGGCAACAGGGCCAGCATGTTAAACATGTTAAACAGCATGTTTCTCAACTGGTGGGTCGCCATCCAAAAGTGGGTCGGGGACCATTTTCATTGCAGTGTGTTAAAAAAGAAATTATGTGGTGTTCCTGAGCGATAAAATGTTTCGGCAAATACCATAAACCACGGTATAATGTCTGGACGATATGGTAGGCACTGGTGGATCAGTCTGTTTCAAAGCCTGCTTATGTTCCCAGTTGCTTAGCGCAGATGAAAATGACACCATGAATATGTTCTGCTGCACGTCAGTGAAACGCGCTGGGCAGCGAGCAGGTCGCTCCGCCTGGTGAACGGACACACTTCTCTTTTCTGCAGAACCAATTCGGACTCGGCCTTGCACCAGAGCACGATGAACCCTACTCCCCAGGACAGCTTTGTGGGGGGCTCACAGGAGCTTCAGCCCAAGCGAGGTGCGTCAGGGAGGGGGCTCTGCGGGGGAAAGGGGGGTGTGTGTGCTGTGTTCATCATTGTTGTGTGTTGATGTTATATACTGTGGGAGGTTTATAAAGGACGGGGTCAGCTTTAATGAAATCGAATGATACTGCATAGTATCGTTATGTTTTTAATTTTGTTTGTGTATCTGAGAGGTTTAGGGAGAGTCTCCACATGTTCGCTTTGGTGCTCAGTGCTGTTTCCTCTCAGGGTTCCTGCAATAAAAAATACCTTCACACTGAAAGGGGAGCGTCTCTCCCGCTGTAGGGTCTCTCCCGCTGTAGGGTCTCTCCCGCTGTAGCATCTCTCCTGCTGTAGTAGGTGTTTGGAGTTTGCAGTGGAGGTTCCGCTGGATGTTCCTGCCCCAGTTTGCCCGAGTCGATCTTAAACCTTCAGCATGTTCTCTGTCTTCCCAGTGCTCCTGCTCACAGTTCCGGGGACAGAGGACTCCGCAGAATCTGAGGTGGATAAAAACATCCAGAAGCAGATCTGGGATAAGAAGGTGAAGGCTGGATTCGGATCAGATAGGGGGGGCGTCTCTCTGCTGCTTTAAAGCAGGGAAAATTAACTGATCCAAGCTTTTTTTCTTACAGAACCTGTCGCCAAGGCCCAAATCCTGTGAGGTGCCGGGGATAAAGTGAGTACATGACACATTCTGTTGCCTGCTTTCCTGGGGGGCAGGATACCTGATCTCCTGCACTCTTATCAAAGGCAGATTCATTTGATTAAATGATAAGCATTGTGGAATGAGCCAGGCAGCTTGTGGAGCCCCTGATGGAAGGCTTTCAGCAAACGGCTATGGGGTGAATTTGGTGCTGTTCCTTGTTGGCTACTGGATTCTCTCAGACTCTTCCTGTCTGTCTTCTTTTCCCCCAGCTATGCTTAAAAATAAGAAGATCACATTTATTAAAACTATAAGAAATACATATTTCTGCACGTGAAATGTGTGTGTTTACGTATAGATAAACCGACGAACCAAATTATCATGACCACCTCCACATGAAAGAAGAATTAGTCAGGGGTAAGGATCTGGGTGACTTTGACAAGGCCACGTTTTGGCCAGACAACTGGGTCAGAGCCGGTGGATCGTGGTTTTTCCCTCCTTTGACCACTGTTGGCAGGAGGGCGTGGGAGCTCAGGATGGCAGGGCAGGGCACACACACCATGGGCAGTGTTGTGACACCCATTCTCGTCTGCATGCCTTTGGAGTGTAAAAGGAGAGCTGAGCCTCTGAAATAAACACGGAGACAAGCCCTGGAGGTGAGAGGTGGTACTGCCAGTCACTGTCACCCCTAAAGTGTCTGTTTATTCTGACTCAGTATTCATAACAGATATTTGAAAGGTGGCACCTTTTGGCGAAAATGAAAACCGTGAAATAATGGGTGAATTGTTAAGTGAACTTTATCAGTGTCAGAGTGATAGCAGCATGAAATGCTCTGAATCACCTGGCAGTGGCATGGCAGGAGCTAGAGCGCCCACTAGAGGCTCTGATCAGCACTGGCTTTTGGCTGAACTACTGATGACAAGTACAAGGTTTGCAATAAACAAACTTCATTCTTCTGCAACCGTAGAGCATCGCAGCATAAAAAGGCACAGCTTTGTGGATCAGTTGCAGACGGGGATGAGGATTTACGGAAAGCAGAGGGATGGGCTTAGGGTTAGGCCGTGATGTTAGGGTTAGGTTTAGGGTTAGGCTGTGATGATAGGGTTAGGCTGTGATGTTAGGGTTAGGTTTAGGGTTAGGCCGTGATGTTAGGGTTAGGTTTAGGGTTAGGCTGTGATGATAGGGTTAGGCTGTGATGTTAGGGTTAGGTTTAGGGTTAGGCCATGATGATAGGGTTAGGCTTAGGGTTAGGCCGTGATGTTAGGGTTGGGTTTAGGGTTAGGCCATGATGATATGGTTAGGCTGTGATGTTAGGGTTAGGGTTAGGCCGTGATGTTAGGGTTAGGCCGTGATGTTAGGGTTGGGTTTAGGGTTAGGCCGTGATGTTAGGGTTAGGTTTAGGCTTAGGGTTATGCCGTGATGTTAGGGTTAGGCCGTGATGTTAGGTTTTCGGGTTAGGCCGTGATGTTAAGGTTAGGGTTAGGCCGTGATGTTAGGCCGGCCCCAGTGAGTGCTTTACTCGCTCAGATGTGGGGAAGCGCATTGCAGATGAGCTATCCTGCTTGCTTTGGGGGAGGTTTGGCCACAATGTAAATACAGAAACCTACCCACTGACACGTCCCGGAATGTCGACTGGTTTCCCATCCAGGGTGCCCCCTGCCTCATCCTCTGTGATGGACAGGCGTCCCATCCAGGGTGGCCCCTGCCTCATCCCCTGTGATGGACAGGCGTCCCATCCAGGGTGCCTCCTGCCTGGATGGATTGATTAACAATAGCAATTAATGCCATTGTATGAGTATGAGATGAGCTGAAGGCTGTTCCACTTATCCACAAAATGAGAGGCTGGCTTCCATTGATGATGATGAAATAGCCTTAGTAGCACTAAGGATCTTTTCTCGCAGAGTTAAATAAGATCTTTCATTTCCTCACAGCCTTACTGGCAATTTGTCATCCACTGCTAGATAGCAGAACACAGGCAGCTGCACCCACTTGTGAAACTCGCCCCTCGCATGTCCTTCACCTTTTGCTGTATGCACTACAGGTTCCCAGGTGAACTGCTCCTCCAAAACTATCCCCCCCCCCCCATGCTTTACGTTGTGTGGGGGTGGGATGCTTGCTGCTCCGGTGCAGCGCAGCGTTCTGCATGGTGGGGGCAGTGAGTACTGCCCACAAAGACGCCCCCCGTCTCGTGTGAGAATGTTTCTGTGCCTCGCTGCCCACAAGCTGGATTGACATGCCAGTTTAGACACTGCAGTGCGGAATAACATTCTGCTGGATGAGACCTGCACTTCTCTGTAATATATTCCAGCATATTATGAAGAACATTCTCTTGGGGGGGGCAGCACTGCAGCTACACCTCCCCAGTGGGGTCTGAATCTTACCTCCACTCTGTCTTGACTCCCCTTGCCTCTGTTTTGGAGGTGCACACCCTCTGGTTCCTGTGTCCTTGGATACATGTTAATTTTCCTCCCCTTCTCTCTCTCTCTCTCTTTCACTTCCTAGCATTTTTCCATCGCCTGACCAGGAGATGACCACCTCCTTAATCCCAGCCACACACAACACTGGCGGCTCTCTGCCTGACTTGACCAACATCCAGTTTCCCCCGCCGCTGCCCACCCCACTGGACCCCGAGGACACCTCCTCCTTCCCAGTGCTCAGCACCTCCAGCAGCACCAGTAACCTGGCCACCAACCTCACCCACCTGGGCATCAGTGTCGTCAGCCACGGTAACGCGGCCGAAAGAAGTCGCGGAATAGCTAATTCTCTCGTGAAAGGAACAAAAATTACTCTGCCAAGGTAAATTGTAATGTGGTTTCGGTTGTTCTGAAACTCCCACCGGGGGGAGCTAAAGAGATAATGGCGTAATTCCATCAGTCTGTTACCCTAATTAGAGGAAGTGCAGTGTGGGATGTGGGTTCGGGACGATCGTTAACCCACTTGAATTTACACGTTATCAGGGGTCCTGTTCTTATATCCGGTCTCCGATTAGGAGCAGGAACTCAGCTTAACGGCTCTGCTAACGCGGTAATGACACGAAGGGAGTTTCTGCACACACTAAATGCGTCTTTCAGAGGAGCAGCCCAATAACACGCATGTAACACGCATGTAACACGCATGAAAACGCTTTCCTGACGCTCACCTTCATATGATTTCCCCAGTTTCATTCGTTTTTCTTCCCTTTGGTACAAATCAGTCACTGAAATACATATTTTATTCTAGTGAATCCTCTGTTTATGAGTGACAGATGAACGTTTTGCTCCGTCATTTCAGAGTCTGCTTGTGCCTTCGCATATAAAATGACCCACTGGCCTTTTTTGTAAATGCTGCAGCCATTTTCGGGTTTTAAATCATCCTGATGTCCCCCTCACACAAGAGCCCCCACCCCCCACTCCGTCACTCCCTCCGTGACGCTCACTTACCCCCCACCCCGCAGGAATCAGCGGCTCCCAGCCCAGCATGACGGGGACGGCCCAGCGCAAGCAGCAGAGCGTGGTTCCCTTAGCGCTGAACGCAGAGGCACAGAGCCAGCAATCCCCACAGCAGCTCTCCCCCACCCTCTCGCCCCCCGTCACCGTGGCTCAGGTAAGGCCCCGCCCACCCAGCCATGCCCACCCAGCCATGCCCACCCTACTTTAAATAAATTACTAATGGCTGAGAAATGAGGTATCCGTGAGCGATGGGTATTTCGCCTGCCTGTGCCAGTATCTCTCTATTAAGCGACTCTGCGGGGCTGCATTACAGGAGCACGCCCATCTTTCCTGTGGCATCCTGTCATCACAAACTACAACATATTGATTTTTAAACACTAGACTTACCGCCTGAAGACATTCTGTATGTTGGATGATGCTTCCTGGTGTAAAATGACCTGTGCAGGATGTCTCAGCTTAATGTGTCCTTCCGAGACGCCTGGAACCATTTCTTGCTCTAACTTGGCCCCTCCCCCGTTGGTCTGTGCCCCCCCCCGTTAACCATGCGCCATACTCCCACCCTCCCAGGCCGTGACGATGGATGCGCTGACCCTGGATCAGCAGCTGTCTCAGTACCCCTTCTTCAGTCAGCTGTCGTCGCAGGCGTTGGCGCAGGTGGTCAGCGACCTGCAGCAGCGGGCCCCCCAGCAGCCGCAGCAGAACATGCGGCTGGTGCAGCTGCCACCGCTGTCTGTGAGCACAGCCTCCAGTCTGCCCCAGGCCTCCCCCGGCAGCCAGACGCCCACTACCGTCGCCATCGACATTAACTCTGTAAGTCTGAGCCCCGAGATGCAGACGCCCCTTATATCTCCTCTAACTCTGGGTTCTGCTGGCTTTTCCTGAACTGGGCTCTTCTGTGAGGTATATTGACATCACGTATCGAAATCTCAGTGAACTCCTTTCATTGGTTACACCTTCAAAGCAAGGCCAAAATATCTGTCTGACTCCTGATAGCATGGCTTTGAGGAGGGGGGCGCAACTCAGACTGCAGCTCAGATGTTCGGGGGGGGCTCCTGACATACAGAGATGCTGAGGCTGACGCAACGGGCCTCATTCACCAGCTATTCTTAGGAAGAACTTTCTTCCTAAACCCCACTTACGCAGTTCACGCAAAGACACTGATATTCGTCAGTGTTTTCTTATGTGGGATTTGTTCTTTGGTAAGAACACTACACAGGCACTTGCACACTTACGCACATTTGACTGCTGACAAGTTTGTGCAAAATAATTGCTTTTTGCGTTTCCTTGCCTAGCAGCCCAGAGTGATCGGGGAGCCCCATCGCTCGTCTAGTTTTTTTTTGCACTACTTTTTAAAGTGATCCTCTCTGTTTGTTTTTTGTACCGTTGTGTGTTTTCTAATATGCATGTGCAACTGCTTCTGTTGCACGGAATCAGTCTTTATCAAAAAATGCACAGTGGAAAACATTCTAATAGTAAAAACTTGTTTTACATTCTTTGGGAATTTACCCTCGCTGTAAGGTTATCTATGATCTATGCCGTCTATGATTAATGTGCACTTTGCAGATGCAGTTGACACGCACTGGATTACGCTGTAATGTTTAAGGTTACTGCTGCTGACATGCGTTTATTCAGCAAGGTCTCTGTTGAGCTCTTTCTGGTTGCTGCATCTGACTGATGTGGGTGTGTTGTTCTGGTGTGATTGCTCTCCTTTAGTTTCTCGTTTTGCGTTTGGAGTCCGGTGCTCCACCGTCTTCAGATTTTACTTTGGGCAATCTTGACTACTTTCTAAACTTTCCATCTTAATTTCTTTGTGTCCACACTTTCTTGCAGTCTCACACCTTTTTATGGGGATTGGCAGCCCCGTTCCCATGCTTATGAGGAACATCAGGCTTTCAGTTTACCAGGACAGTGAGATTCATCATTATAAGAACACATGTGCAAGCAATTCTGCGCTTTAAGAACACATCATGAATCTGACGTGGACTCTTCTTAGGATCCTTATCAAGAGTAAATTTAGAAAGAGAAGCAGGATGATATTGATGAACGAGGCTCATTGTTTTGTTGCAGATCGTAACGTTTGGAACAGCAGTATCAATAATCCAGAATTGTAACTTTATACAGAAGATATATTGATATAGAGCAGGGGTGGGCAATCTTATCTGCAAAGGGCCGGTGTGTATGCAGGTTTTTGGGATAATCTTAGGTCAGCTGTTCAAACCCAGGTGTGAGGAAACTCCAGCCAATCAGTCCTCTAATGAGTAATTAGTCATTGTCATTTTGTGTCAGTTACGTCGGATTTTTGGGTAAATGTTATATACTGTATTGACTACTCATCAATTAAATATTAAGCATCATTCATTTATATCCTGTGTAACTGTAAAGTTTTCTTCAGCATTTTTTTAACATCCACGATGATGAGCCTTGTGTTGTGGGGCTGTGGATCGATACTAACACTGTCTAAGCAAGATAACACCACAAAGCAGGTGCAGACAGTTAGCCAGATGACTTCTAAAAATATGTTGTCAGGAAACCGGATTGCTGGCCGTATATCGATGTCTGTACTCCACTGGTCCTTCGGGAAGTTGTATGGATCCCTGTCAAGTCCAGCTGCCTTTAAGCAGATACTGTAATCGTTTGTTTCACAGTTGGCTGAAAGCTCCCATATTGCAGCATATTTTGGCGCTTAGTCCATCGAAGGGGGGCATGTTCCCGTGGGGGGGTGACGTCAATGCGTACCTCTGTACAGTACGGTTAGCATCGTTTGTCCAGCAGTATTTACTCTGAGGCCTGTCTGACTAGGAATTAATCCTCACACTGCTGATTCAGTTTTCTGTAGCTGGCTAGTATGGGTTTAATAAAATTGCCTGATTAAATACACTTCTGAGGAACACGTTGCATGGCGGACCTACCATATTGAAGCTGTACCCTAAATTACAGCCACTGTAGGAAGATTCCCTGCGGTACTTTCTGCCAACGTCCTATGATTTTTTGCAAAAAAATTGACAAGAACACCCTAGATATGTGAATGCCTCAGTCATCTAGGCTTGGGCAGTGTCTGTATTTTCATATTGTCATACCAGCTATACCTTCCACCTTGGTATATGATGGTATATGATGGTATAGACAAAGTATTAGATCTTGTAGGCTACTGTAAACTCCGGAACAAGGCCATCAGTGTGGAAGCTGAGCGCTAGATAAATGTGGAGGCAACTCCAAGAGTTAAAAAGATCATTCACTTATATCCTGTGTATTTATTAACACCACTGCTAATTGACACCACTGTCCCTGGCCAGTCAGTGGCCGCATGCGCACTGCATTTCATGCGTGTGCTCAAATGGTTTACAGCACATTCACGGTGCATTTTGTTTTTGTGGCATTGACCTACGCCTGCGTGTTATTCCTTTGCATTTGTTTTGTTCCTTAAGTGTGGCTCCAGTTACCGCTAACATTGCACTGCGATACATCGCCTCAGTACAGCACCTCAGTATTGGTTCTCGGTAAAGAAGAGCATCTGTACTTTTTGAAAACACCTTTGGGCATTTTAAATACCAGGCTACACCGTTACACTAGCACATCGCTCAAGCCTACAGGCATCCATTACAGGCCATCCTGCTGTCTGGGCAGCTGCACAGTTCCAGCGTCTGCTGGTCCTTCTTGCAAAGCCTATGGTGCTGAGCTAGGTCTCTCTCAGGCCTCTCTTCCACAGTCACGGTTTGCATTCACTATTCTCCCAGAATGCATGGGGTCGCTTTGGCGGAGGCTGTCGGCTGCTGACCAGGGAAGGGAAGGAGGATGCGTTCTGGAAGCTGAGCTTCCAGGTGTGGGGTGTGTTGTGCTGTGATGCCAGTTAAAGAGGGGAAAGGAGCTGTTATGGAATGTCTGTTTAAAGGTGTTTTTCCCTCATAGATCCAGGATGTATTTTAACCAGTCTGAGCTGGATAAAACCAGTATTTTTGGCAAAAATCTCAGCATCTGGTTGTTATACAGTAATGAGTTTCTCTTAACATTTCGAACTGTCTCACATGGTCTTGTGCAGCGGTACATCCCACTTCCTTCTTGTGATGTCACATTACGTGCGGTTTATAACTTTTAAACCACGCCCACTCCATCTGCGATTGGCTGTCAGTATGGACGACTGACAGCTGACTTGCTGTTGCTGGAATCTGTGTGTGTGTGTGTGTGTGTGTGTGTGTTAGTCTTATCATATGGTCTTTTGGTATATCAGAGGTTGTATGTGTGATGGGAACTGTTCCAGGCATAGCCACCGGGTGGAGCTCCTGGGGCAGGAGCAGGACATGCTGGGGTTTGTCCTCAAAAAGAAAGAACAGGCCTGGCCTCTGCAGCCACCAGGAAGAGGGTTTTGAGGATGGATGGATGAAAGAAGTATTGCTATGCCTTACACCTTCAGGGGGGGCCTCAAATTGTTTGCTGATGTTACGTTCCTTTCTGGCTGAAATGTCTCCTCATTAAAAAGCTTTCGTTGATGCTTGGCAGCCATGGTCTGTGATCTTGTGGGACCTTTTCATGAGCTGAAGGAGAGAAATGCCCCCAGAGGAGCGGGGTTTCCTCAGAACTCACAGCAGGTCTTATTCCCTGATGCTGCTGTTGCGCAGCTCTTGCAGCAGCTTTTGTAGGTCTCACTGTGTCGGACTCGGATTCCCCTGCTTCTGCCTTTCAGGCATTTGGGCCCATTTTTCTATTAGCTCACTTACAAGTGTGTGAACAAACGGCTGGATGTCCCTGTTACCCCTTAATGTTTTGCTTCCGCGTTTCCGAGTTCCTTCTGTCCGTATATGAATCTCTGTCATTAAATATGCAAATGCCTTTGGCAAAAGTCTGAAGTTGTATGTTAGCATTACGGAAAGGGGCTTACATTCTTAAATGATAAAACTGCATTGTAGTTTTGTGTGTGTTTTCTTGCAAGCATGACGCTCGTATTTTGACACAGAAGTACCCATACATTACAATCACACGTGCAGTGCTTCCTGAATAGTTTCGTGTTATTTTTTTGTTTGTTTTTTGAATTTTAAAGCCTGCTCAGCCCTGCGTTTTTGATCACTGAATCGTATATCATGCAATGGCTTCATGCGATGGCTTTGGGTTAGGAGCTGAACGGGCAGTGGCGCAGTGCGCAGTGGGTCTCTTGCATACGCGGCAGTTGTAACGCAAGTCAAAAGGGAGAGTGAGAAGAAAGCTGCGCTGCCAACACGAATCTGATGACTGTCTATTGCAGTTTTGTCCAGTTTCTGTTCACTGCTGGTGCATAAAGAGTAAAAGCGGGGTGCCGTCATCCGGCCAGAGTCCGTGCTAATCGCCCTTCGTCAGTGATTAGCTTGCTAATGATGCCTCTGTCGGCTGCCTGCTTCAGAAACATGAGCAAAGGCACCTTTACATGTGAGGCAGAGTCTCAGACTTCGGTTAGCAGTCTTTGTTGCTTGCTAGTACTGGTTTATGCCTTAATGGTGGTCTTCGGCATTGTCTATCAGTCACAGTGTACAAAGGCTAGCTGCAGTTTCATCTAGAGCAGGGTAGGCAACCCTGACCCTAAGATGCCGGTGTCCTGCAGGTTTTCTGTCCTACCTGATGAGTTGCTGTCTGCCTGAAATCAGCTGTGGGTCATCAGAGAGCAGGTAGGGTGGAAGACGTGCTGAACACCAGCACTCCAGGGTCAGGGTTGCTTACCCCTGATCTAGAGCATCAAAGTAGCTTCGTTAGATGTGAGAAACCAAACCACTTAGACCATTTTAGGTGCTTTCTCGTCGAGTACAGAGCATCTTAGAGTACAGTTCTTTCTAGCATTGTGCTTTTGACTTTACTCATTTTTATAGACAGTAGAAGCCACACCAGTTGTGCAAGGAATCTCTGGTGGAGATACATAGCTCCTGATTGGCTCTCTGGTGGAGATACACAGCTCCCGATTGGCTCTCTGGTGGGGATACACAGCTCCCGATTGGCTCTCTGGTGGGATACGCAGCTCCCGATTGGCTCTTTTTGCAATAAGTCATTAATTTTTGCTTTTTAATTTCTTCTTTTGTAAATAATTTTAAGCATTAGCTTTAGCCATTGTAGTCAAACGTGAATGTTCTTTTTTGCTGGGGGGAGATAATGGGTAAAAAATTATGCAGTTCGCTGCTTCGTTATCTTTTATCAATGATCCTTGACTGAACTGAGTTCCCCCCCCCCGCCGGGGATAGGCTGTACCCCCATTATTGGGGGTCACCAAAATCACACCAGGTGCTGTTTTTAGTTTAGATTGGATCGCTGTTTTCTTGTGCTAAACTCTTGGTATATTGGAGTCATTTTTTTTTTTTCCTGAACCTCGTGCTGTTGTATATATTTCTTTATCCCCACCCCCCACCCCCCGCTTGCGGAGGTCCCCTAGGGTCTCCGTCCGTCTTTAACGGCATCCTTTATAGACTTCTTCCCTCCAGCAGTACCGCAGTCAGGCCGGCTCTCCCGCCAACCAGTCTCCAACCTCCCCTGTCTCCAATCAAGGCTTCTCTCCCGGCGGCTCGCCTCAAGTAAGGGCGTGACACCTCTCGCTTTATTTGATGTCATCTCCTCGGTCCGGCACCCCCCCCCAGTCTGCTTCTGTCTGCATCCACATCTCCACGGCTGTCTCCCCCGCTTACTGACCGCTGCCGCTTACCGGCCGCTCACTCCACGGATGTCCTGCTCCTGTTTCTTAATGTCTGCTCTGTCTTTGTTTGTAGTGGTTTGATTGTTAGACTTAAGGGTGGACATATTTAAGGACCTGCAGTCACTTCACACGCTGTTCTGCCCCCTTTTTCCTCCTGCTGAACTAGACTCAGTGCTCGATATTAGAGAGCTAATAAACGGGGTACAGCGACAGAACCCTCTCTGCTGGAACGTTAACGCTCTGCAGACCTGCTGCTGTGTAGAAGCTCAGATGCAGAACAGTTTTTGGTGGTATCTGCTTACTTCAGAGGAAATGCAGCTTTTTTTAGATTAAGCGGAAATCCAAAATTAGGCACATTTGTGTATCTGGTCATTGTCTGTAGTTCTGCTGCTTGTTTGGAAAGAGAAGAGATTGTTTAAAGGCGGAATAGATCACATTTCCCAAGGAGTTAAGAATGGTCAAAACGAACCGTGTTACACTTCAAAAGATTCTTTAAACCGATGACAGGACAGACGAGGTAAAGTAAATGGGGGGATAAACTTATTGGAACTGAAGTAGTTGACAGGAAGAGAATAATGTGAGTTTATGAAGCAGGGAGGGGGGGTTATTCTGCTTCAACTTAGGCTGCCTTTCCATGCTTTCATAGGTAGTGTTTGTGTTTAATGCCGAGTGCTTTAAATTTCAGTTACAGTGCATTTCAGTTTACATTTTTGGTTATATATGCAGTTCCAACCTGTCATTTACTTAACACATCAGATGTGATTGTTGATTTTATTATATACACTCAACATCGGCCTTTTGGGAGAATCCCTCTCCTAAGCCTTACAAATGTCGTTAAGTGTGATTTCCATGATTCTTTGGTTTTACGTCAGTTTGCAGGCTAAAGGGTCATTTATGCTATCTTAAGATTTACAACAAATATTTTTTTAAATACTTGTAAAATTTTGAATTGCTTGCGACAGACGTAGCGGGTTTTACTTTTGTGCATTGTTTTGTTACATGTTAAGATTTGTATAAGCACTTGAATATCCTTTTAATTTATTGCGTGCTCATTTTGTGGTTTGAATGTCTGATAGACAGCCTGGATTAAAATGATACATTTTTTAGTTTAATTTTTTTCCATGCTGGTTTAAAAAATATAAAAGTACCTGTATAGTGCAACGAGAAGATGCCCAGGCAGGCGCCAGACTCTGCCATCCTTCCCTGTCTCTCCAGCTTGTACGTCCTTAACAAATGCTCGTTGAAATAAGCGAGGTGGCTCCCAGGTCCTAGTGCCTGGTTCCCCTTGCATGCAGCAATGGAGCTGAGCGCGCGGGTCAGCGTTTCTGTCCGAGGGCGTCCCTGGGGCGCCCGCATTTGACGCCGGCGGGGGCCCCCCTGGCCGGCTTGTTAAATGCTCCCCCCTTGTGTTCATTTGTGTTGCATTCTGCTGCTCTGCTGTTCTGTTGTAGAATGAATGTTTCCCTGGAGAAATTACTGCATAGCCTGTGAATTTTTGCTAGCTCTCTGATCAAATTTCTGCCTGAAAGGCTGTCATTTGGGTGTTTCCTTTTCTTAATGAGTGCCGTGATCTCTGGGGAAATATTGAGTCGGTCTGACTCTCTCTCAGTGGACGTGTGGCACTCTGTTGTTTCCTGTTCCCGTTGCCTCCTTGTTTGTCCAAGGCAGGGTTTCTCGAGCTGGTCTTCAGGGCCCCCAGACAGTCTGCGAGCTGGGAGGGAACAAAAACGTGGCCTGTCTGGGGTCTCCGCGGACTGGCTTAAGGAACGGGTCTACGGGGCGTCTGTGGGCCAGCCAGCGTGCCCTTGCAGCCTGAGCCGCGGCGCTGAAGCCCTCCGCCCTTCTGTTTTAGCACACTTCTGCTGTGGGCAGCATCTTCGGCGACTCCTTCTACGACCAGCAGCTGACATCCAGGCAGACCACTGCCCTCTCCCACCAGGTACGCCGGGTATACCGGCCTGCTGTGTACCGGCCTGCTGTATACCGGCCTGCTGTATACCGGCCAGCTGTATACCGGCCTGCTGTATACCGGCCAGCTGTGTACCGGCCAGCTGTGTACCGGCCTGCTGGCGAGGCGCTTAAACGGGAGCTTGAACAGAATCACGCACACATGCGTCTCCTAGGGCTGGGCGGATGGCGCATGCGCAATAATCACCAAGGCTTCAGATCACAGGCGAAGCATTTGGCCCAATGCCAGCTTATATATATATATATGGGCATTTATTTACGCCCAATATTTGGTAAGCAAATTAGTAGTACAGCTGAAACATTGAGATGCGTTTCGTGACACTCAAAACTTTATTAAATTTGGTTAGCGGAGCACTCCTCATCATGCTGTTTTGGTATACTATGTTTGGTATACTATGTTTGGTATACTATGTTTGGTATACTTCAGTGCGATTTGCACTGAAGGGTCAGTGAAGAAAGGAACAGCTCAGCAGCCACGATATCTTTTAAAAGAGGAGATCTTGCAGATAAACAAGGTAAAAATGCATCGGTGATGTGGTGGTACTTTTTGCAGTTTAAAGTCCGACATGTTTATTAAATATAAGGATATGCTGAATTTAACTTTTGGGCATCATAAAATGCCTCATTAATATTTAAGTCTGCTTCACAAATTGTGGGCGTAAATAAATGTCTGTATAGTACTGAAAAGCTGGCGTTTGGCCAAATGTTTTGCCTGTCATCTGAAGCCCTGGGGATTGTCGCACATGTGCGATATAATATTGGTATGATATCGCCCGGCCTTAGTGTCTCCCCATGAGGGCCTTAAGGTGGAATTAGTTCTGCTGAATGAACACCTTGATTAAAGCATAAGGGGACATTATTTAACTTGTCACTGGTTAGGAACTTTATCTTGTATAGTGCTGTTATAGCCAAATCATTTTGATTTATCTGTCTTGTTCTTAGTATACGGTGCAAATAATTTTTCATATAGTTTTTAAAACCTGTTTTTTTGTTTTATTCATCTATTGCAATTGTAAATGCTTCCCCGTTGTGACAGAATAATTAGCAGCTATTGCTGGATTTAAAAATTGATGCTGAAAAATTTCTTGGGGCACCTTTCCACTGCTCCTGGTACTGTACCATACTTTCAGTTCTCTCCCTTTTCCATTGACTTCCGGTCAAGTACAAGTACCAAAAGCCCCAAACCAGCTGGGGTACATTTTTCTTACTTTGGTACTTTGGGATGTGATTGCAAAGACTTTCTTTGCCAATTTGGTTATGCAAATAGCCTGCCTCTAAACACAATACAACATGAAAAAAGTCACTAACTCGTCAAACGACAAAGTGGAAAAAAAATTTAAGTAACACTAATGGATGCGTGGACAAATGAAGAGACCCAAACTTAAACTGCGATCTGGTCGAAAGAACAGATGCAAAAAGATCAGGATGGCATGACAAGCAGTAAAGTATTTTGTACAATATACTACGACAACACAGTATTGAAATTTTTTTAAATATCAGTGTGATTTTGTTGTAATAAATATTGGTGTATTTATAAAGCAAGAGTTTAATTTCTCACAAACCCATCTAGGAGTGATTTAAATAGCAAGAACAATTGTGTCAGAGAACGCATGCAGCGCTCATGTGAAAGCAGCGGAGGTAAACTTTAAACTGATTTTAAACATATACTAGATAATCTTGAAAAAGAATCAAAGTTGCAAGTTGCAATCAATCAAAGTTGCAAAACTTGCCCCCCCCCCATGACAGAGTAAAAAAAGCTCTGTGCTATAATGTCTGTGCAGAAGTGAAACTGAGAAAAAGCCTGATTTTATTTTGCTGACTAGCAATGTAAGAATTGCATGTGCATAACATGCGATGCTAGTATTAATATCACACGTAGTCCAGCCCTATAATACACTACAGCCATTTTTCAAATTCCGTACAAAATATCCTGCCTTGCGTTGTGATGTCACTGAGCACCAGTAGCAGTTTTTACACCAGTGAAAAACCAACACCGTGAAGTTCCGTACCTTTGGTGCTTTCTCGAAGTTCCGTACTTTTGGTGCTTTCTTGAAGTGCTGTACTGTTTTTTTTTTGAAGTACCAAAAGTACGGCACCTGTTGTGGTGAAAAAGTGCCCTTAGCTTAAAATTTGCCCTCGTTATGTGAAATGTGCCGTATAAGACTGATTTAATTCATGAACTTGGCCTGTTCTTGTTAACTGTACCACAGGGAGGTGCACAATGCTGTCTCTGATCTGCCTCACGTTGCCGTCACACTATTGCTTACATTATTCCGTTTGCGTTCTCCATCGCGGCCCAGCTTGAGCAGTTCAACATGATTGAGAGTCCCATCAGCTCCAACAGCCTGTACAGCCAGTGCTCCACCCTGAACTACACCCAAGCAGCCATGATGGGATTGACAGGTAGCCACGGCAACCTGCAGGACTCCCAGCAGCTCAGTTACAGTAGCCATGGCAACATTCCCAACATTATTCTCACAGGTATGGTACCATCTTTCTCCTGCTTATAACATGGCCTTCCAAATCGGATACCTGTGTATGCTGTCAGATTCCTAGCTTAGCTCATGTCAGGATTGTAAGGCTATTGTGGTGACGATGGCGATACCACACCTACAGCTGACCAACCGGTGTGTTTCAGTTACTGGAGAGTCACCACCCAGCCTGTCCAAGGAGCTCACCAGCTCCCTGGCCGGTGTCGGTGATGTCAGCTTTGATGCCGACTCTCAGTTCCCGTTGGACGAGCTGAAGATCGATCCTCTCACACTCGACGGACTGCACATGCTCAACGACCCAGACATGGTCCTCACCGACCCCGCCACGGAAGATACTTTCCGGATGGATAGGCTGTAGACGCAGGACTGCAGGCCGCAGTGTTAAGTACCTGGAGAGTTTGGGGAGAGGAGGGTTGGGCCGTGTAACTGCCTGCTTGCACATCAGCCCTGCCTCTCTCTGCAGTTCCCACCATTTCCTGTTATGACCCTTTTGATGGGCTGAGGGAAAAAATATATATACAAACCAGAAGGGAAAAGAGTCCCGTAATGTCCAGTAAAACGAAGCTTGTCTTTCTGAGCTTGTGAATTCATCTGTGTTATTTATATGCCTGCCATACGTTTCTCTGCATTTGACAGACTTTAATCAGTTGTCAAGTTTTGTACCATAGAGACGTTGAGTTCACTGATTTTAGAATCAACATTTTAAGCTAAGAAAAACAACAAAAGTGGGCTGGTTTAATTTAATTTCCGTTTTGTATATTTTCCATTACGTCACCTTTTTTATTTTACGCCAATGTTCAGCTTGACTGTTCACCTTATGGCTTTGCTCCCTGTGTTTTGTGTGTGTAATTATTTTTCCCTGTCTTGAATGTGGTCAGTTTTGACAGTCTGATTTTCTTGATTGCGGGCAGTTATCATGTTATATATTAAAAATGCCATTGTCCCCCCCCCTTCTGTAAATTGACCAGCATTCACTGCCTGTTTTGGTTCCCTGCCAAAGTTTTAATACTGGCTTTTATGTCCCTGTTGTCATTTTTCTATTTATTTTTTTATTTTTATTTTTTTTGAGGTTAAGGAGTATTAATCCTCCCAATACCAAATGAAAGTTTTTGTTGCAGTCGGGGTATTTCTTGGTGCCCTGAAAGGTAACAGTCCATCAGCTTACATCTCACGTCGCCTGATTAATTAAGTATTCATACTTTGTTGTGAAAGCTGACATAGTTAATCAACGTCACTGACATAGTTTAAGGATATAGTCACGTGGTATGGCGCCCTCTGTTAGTAGTATTGAGCATTTTTAATTGTACATACTTCATAGTGATGAGAAATTTGTCCATGTTGGTTCTTTGTTTACATGGTGTTGGTCCTGCTGTTTAATTTGTGCGCAGAAACGATCCCGCCTCGTTTGATATTCGATAAGGCGTGTCCCCCGCTGCAGGCCTGCTCTGCAGTGAATTTGTGTGCAGAAACGATTTCGCCTCCTTTAACATTCGATGAGGCACGTCCCCTACTGCAGGCCTGCTCTGCAGTGAATTTGTGTGCAGAAACGATCCCGCCTCCTTTAACATTCGATGAGGCACGTCCCCTGCTGCAGGCCTGCTCTGCAGTGAATTTGTGTGCAGAAACGATCCCGCCTCCTTTAACATTCGATGAGGCACGTTCCCTTGCTGCAGGCCTGCTCTGCAGTGAATTTGTGTGCAGAAACGATCCCGCCTCCTTTAACATTCGATGAGGCACGTCCCCTACTGCAGGCCTGCTCTGCAGTGAATTTGTGCGCAGAAACGATCCCGCCTCCTTTAACATTCGATGAGGCACGTCCCCTGCTGCAGGCCTGCTCTGCAGTGAATTTGCCACCCGGAAGCTGGTGGGCCTCCACAGCTTCCTGGATTTCTTCTGTGTTTGTGTATCTGCTATTCTTTGACTGAAGGGCCGCAGGCCGATAATGCGAGAAGACAGGAACGGCTGGCGGCGATGAACTCATCACTGTGAGATCACCTGATTTTGCCTTACATGAATGAGATGCTGTTTTCAAGTGTCTGGTACTTAATGTGAAAATGTATTTTTCCTAATGTCTCTGTTTTTGGCTTTTTATAGATTTTTTTAAATATGTATATTGACCGATGTATTTGTGGCAATGTAGTTTAAAAGCTTGATTATTTGTAACTTCTTGAGCATTGTGGCGTCCATAACATTCAGGATCCTCAGCGCACGCAAGGGCGGGCGGATTACTACTCCTTAAAGTGCTGGATGTTGGTGTTAGATCATGCGTTTCTGTTGCTTATGTATGTATTTATGTATGTATTTATTTATTTATGTATTTATTATTATTATTTATGCTGTCTCTCCCTCACTACGTGCATGGTTTCCACCCGGCGGTCGGTCCCAGCAGTGTCGCGTGCGCTCTGCCTGTGTACGGTGTTCCCCCCGAGCTCCTATTGGCTGTGCAAAACGACTAAATTCACCGTACTGCGCATGCATTCGAGATTCCTATGCAAGACAAATTAAACAGTTCACTATGATGTAACACGCAGAACAACGTGGTATTAGAAATATTTTGCAAACATATAATTTTATTGGAGCGCAACTGCAGTATCTTCCATTACTGTGACATTTAGGTTACTGGACATTAAACGTTATGAGTCAGTACAGGCGCCTTACAGATATTACATTAACTGCATTTTTTTGACTGGCAAAATGGAAGCTTGTATATTCTGTATATAACTTTTTAAACGTGCATGATAAATATAGGGCATTTGGAAAATTACCTTTATTAAAGTTGGTTTGTTGGATTAAATTCTCAAGGGGGGAGCTGCTGATTTTTAATTCAAGACCCTATAGTGTGAATCGTGCTCCTGGCACAGCGTTCAGATGGAAATATATTTACTGTTCCGACACTCATTTGTATCTCCCGGGTTGTATCAGTAACGAACCAATACAATTTAATTTAACGACGACGGAATTCAATTAGGAACCATTTATCCTCTGTCCCTAACCCTGCTGAGGTTTTTCTTATTTGCTTGTGGCTCCTTTACTTAATTCTCACGAGCGGCCACTTCCCTGTAATTCGTGGAGCAAAAAGCTTGTCATTTGTGCCATTTTAATCCTGCCCTCATACACAGGGTTTCGCCTCCCTTCTCTCGCTCATATTAGCCTTTATTGGAAAGAAAGACGATACCTGCACTTCGTGATGGACTTGTATATTCTCTGCAACAGAGGTGATGTCTCCTTCATCGGCTCCCAGTGTGAACCCGCTGGTGACTTTGCAGTCCTGGTTAGGCTTTTGGGAGCTGTCGTATCTCAGTGCACACATGAAAGGGCTCCTAACTAGTGCAGCTCGTTCGTGCTGGACGTGGGCTCGGCATCCGTGTTTAAAGGTATGTGTAGGTGAGTTTACAGCGCAGCTCCGCATGCATAGGAAGCGGCGATCACCTGTCGCCAGAGGTATGCGCTGTGGCTTTTCCATTCAATCCTGATGATCGAGACGGAGCTCCTTTCAGCCTTGGCAAACTGTGATGTAAAATATTTCCTAAAATCCAGACGGGTGTTGTTTATTATTATTATTGTTATTTGTAACGTGTTTGCAGCATAACCTTGACATTTATCGTTGTGAGGGTGTCCTGGCTTTGGAAATGAAATACAGACCTCTAAGTTAAAATCGGGGTGGAGGGAGATTTTCTTTCAATATTTCCCATTACGCAGATCTGTGTGTGGTTGTCCTGCTTTTTTAATCTTTATTTTGTTCATCAGCTCAGCGACCTTAAACACAGCGGTGTTTCTGAGTCTATGAAGGCATTTGTGTCCCCTTTTCCCTCCTGTGCGCTATATGACACCCTTCTGAATCTCAGTACGTTCTTTTTTTTTTTTTAACCTTTCACAGTAATGTAAGATTTGCGACCATTTAATATTATACTGGAAAACTTTACCCTTTTGCAGTCCAGTACTGTAATGATTTTATATATTTTTTCCCATCTTGGGATGCCATATTTTCAAGTGAACTTAGCTTGTGAGTTTTTGTTTTAAATGCCAGTATAAGATCCTGATCTGTATTAACGTGCTGGAGGAATGTATGGACGATGGTGGACTGTTGAATGCAGCTTTTCTCCGTAATTTCTGCATAAAGTAACTTACCGCGGGTTGTGTTTGAGCTGCACTGCAATGTTAACATGCATGTCAATCAGTCCCTGTCACTTACGTTCTTCTATTAACAGTTTTTAAGACTTCTGCATGTTACCGAGTCCAGTGGCAAAATTATAATCGCTGCTTGAAAGGGGTTTAATATCCACACCTAGAAAACTGACAGGTATGTAAGGAATGTTTTTAGACCTTTTAATCTGTCTTTAAACCACTTTTCAAAATGGCAACATGTTTATATGCAAGGGGAAATTTGTCTAATACTCTCTGTTACATTTTCTTTACAGTGTCAGTCCTTCACTTAGGAGGGGTGGGGCTGTGATACTGGGTCTGCTAGGGTTGTGTTGGGGGAGTTTCTGTTAAATATTGTTTCATCTTCATACAGATGTTTAATCTGCATGAACTTTTGTTTTTTTGTCCTTGTTTTAAGCATGGTTTAATAAGAGACCTACTGTGGCATTACGGTGTTAATTGGACTAATTTGTAACTTGTTTTCTTTGTGTTGGTTTCAACATTGTTGACTATTGCTGTCTTTATGAACTTGGCAAACATGTAATTCAGCTACAAAAATAGGAATGACTCTCTTGATATAATATTTATTTGCACATATGTTTGTGTGTTGCAGTTAACATTCCGATGTCTGCAGTCGATCTTGCATGGGTTTATCCAGGTTTGTGTTCAAATAAGTCAGAAGATTAAACTGAATAGTTCTTATGTTAATGTAGAGAGACTACTGGTGGGATTTCCTAAACAAAAATCCATGAATGAAGGTGAACTTTGGTTGAAAAATATGTGCAGCCCTCCCAGATTCGAATACCCAATATTTCAAATATTCTAACATATTTTTCTGTATTTGTGTTCTGTTTCTTTGTTCAGTGTTTCTCTGTGCTGTTTAAAAAGCTTTATACCAGACAGAGTATTTATGAAGAGTGAGGAGTTTCTCATTTTTCTGTGCAAAGATTAATTAAAACATTTGAATGTCAATAGAGATGCATCCTCTAAAACCAAAACCGGTCAATTGCAATATTTTCACTTTTAGGAAAATGCCTTTTTGTCTAAAAATTAAATGGCACTTGGAAGCTGTTTGTATGTCAGAACTGGCTGTCGTTGGTACACAATCGGCCCAGTAAACAAAACATCCTTTCGGTTTCCGGGCTCCACAAACCCTACATATAACTTAGCGAGTCGTAGCTTTAATCATTGTTTATTTCTGTGAAGAACATTTCAGGTCTGTTCATAAATTGCTGTTTTTTTTCCAATAAAATTAAGACATAGGAGGTGATTGGTTAGCGAGTGAATTAGTGCTCAAGTTTCCTTCAAGCTGGGAATGAGCAGCTTTGTTTAAGGTTAATAAAGAGACTTAACCTGACCGGTTACCCACATGTGCCCCTGTTTAAACGCTTTACCCTGGGTTGTATAAACATTTCAACTGGAAGCTATGCAAATCATAACAGCACCTGCTAAGCAATTAGGTTTGTTTATTACCGAGTCAGGGGCTTCAACTTGGATGACTCTTGTCGTCCTTAACTTAATGATATTGTTTTCGTTGTAGAAGTGTTGTTGCCTTACATCCTACTATACCTGCCTGGTGCTCAGACAAGGTAAAGGTCAAGTTTGAGGCTAGTAAAGGAATATTCTTTATTTATTTTAATATTTTTTTATTATTGTCAAGCCGTCCACGGTCCCGGCTCTGGCCCACAGGAAGGCCTGTTGCTTGGTGTTCGGCCTGCTTGTCTGCACTTGTGCTGTGACATTGTGCTTAAAGACTAATGCAGTGTTACCTGCCGAAGCTGTTATGTGTGTGGGGGGGGGGGATGTGTCCCTTAATCTGTTCTATTGTTCGATTTCTCCCTAAACGTGATATTTTTGCATATTATGATGTATATAAAGAATAAGCCAACATGGTGAATTCCCCAGGAAAGATAGTAGCTATTTTGGATAAAAATTATATATGGTTATATTCATCAGTAGTGGAACTGAATACCGACGTATCTCTTGATTGCAGAATGTGTTTGGGTCATTATGTTTCAATATAAATTTGTGCTAGTTAGCTTCTAATGATAACAGCCTCTAAGCGTAACATACAGCCATTTGTTTTTGGAGTATTTTGCAGAAATATGGATGAAACTGAAAATCGCGGCTTTTAGTGTCATGGATTTCGGGGGGGGGGGCTTCATTGCAACCAGGTCTACTGAAATGGCCGCAGGAAATATCGAGCAGTTGTAAGAGTTCCAATTTTCAGGCAGTCTTAAAGACGGCTACCCCCCAGTTATAGGAAGGTCATGGTTTAAGACATTCTGCATGATGTCATGCTTTACTTTCAGGTGTCATTTTATGATTTTCTCGTCTTTGTTTACCGCTTTGTACCATTCTCTTCCGGATTGTAATTATTCCCACTTCATGGAAAACTCTTGGGAATGATTCGCTTTGCAAGGTTATTTTCCTTTTGGTGTTTTGGGTGCGAGAAGTGTCCCGTTAAAGGTGTGCGATGAGGACGGCAGTGCGGATATGCCGCTTTGCTGTCCCTCCCAAAGCCCCTCTAACAGCCAGGCCACGCCCGAAAGGCACGGCCGGCCGCTCTTCATGCTGAACGTATACAACTGGATAGCCAAAGCTTAAAGCCCAGCCCATGCATGCTTCACAGGATGATGTCACTTAGAAACAAAGTTTACTTTTCACCGTCTGCATTCATGAAGCTGTTTGACCGTTGAAGCTGAAGGCCAGGGGACCTGTGCTCACGGCTTCCCGTCTTCGCTTGCGGCTGCATATATAAACGCGCATTTCATTTGTGTTGCTTTTGATTTCTGTAAATATGAAGAAGAAACACTAACAGTGCCACCTGTGTATGTGTATAACCTGAGGCCCAAAAGCCTGATCTGACCACCTTCTCTGGCTGAAAATACCACATAAGATATAAAGCAGTTTCATGGTAGGACTTTGCTATGTTTTTTTTCTTTTTTCTTTTTCTTTTTAATTTAAGCATTCGCTGTGTTCTGTAACTATAGAGTGCATGTCCTATATGCTACCCAACCTCCTAGCAAGGATTTTAATGGGGGATTTGAGGCAACAACAGACATGAACATCAAACACTATTGATCTCTGCTTCAGTCCTCCAAGTCCTCGCTCTACCGTTGCGTCCAAAGTCTGTTTAATTCGGTGCCGCAGAAGGACACACAAACGATGAAACGGATCGATCGTAACTCAAAGCTTAACAGAACTGGAAATAAAGTATCAATGTTGCAAAAAAAGGTTCTTTAATTGAAATTCACTGACACAAGGCAATGGTGACCAGTGTTAATCCTAAAGGAGATTTGACTCCCTGGGGTCTCTCATCCAGTGGCAGCTATATCGTACGATTCCTCGTCTGACTTGCGCTTCGGTGTCGCGTAGCGCTCCGGAGCTGCTCCCGGAGCCGCTCCCAGAGCCGCTCCCATTCACTGAACGGTCCATTCTTATCAAATATGCAAAACTCTGATGTTAGCAACACGGCTCGCTCATCCAGGTAGGTCTGCAGAGCTGCCCCTTTAAGACAGAATTATTCTGCTTTGAATTATAAGCTTTTTATATTGACAAGTATGAAAAGAGGAACCAGTCACTGGCTATAGGTATGTGCGAGTAACAGAGGCATTGCAGTGGTACCTTTTGAAGTACATTTCGTGTGTGAAGGCTTCTGTCTTTGTAAACGCATTACTATTTGTAAATTAAATGTAATAAAAATGAGATTGACAAACCCACAAGAACATCTGGGTTTTTTTTTCTGTTAAACACACATTAGCAGGTCTGAATTTTCTCCATTATTAAGTAAAACCCTAAGTCCTGCCCCCAGCCGTGTGTGTGTGCGTGTTCACGTTCACGTGCGCGTGTGTGTGAACGGGTTTACCTATCCTTATGGGGACACAATGTCCCCATAACGTGATAAATATCCGTTTTTTTTCCCTAATGGGGACCAGTGTGTGTGAACGGGTTTACCTATCCTTATTGGGACACAATGTCCCCATAACGTGATAAATATCCGGTTTTTTTCCCTAATGGGGACCAGTTTCCTGGTCCCCATAAGGGAAAACTCTATTTTATAAAAATCGGTGACTGCTATGAAAAAACTAAAAATGCAAAAACTCTTGTATTTTGTTAGGTTACTCATGGTTATGGGTAGGGGTTAAGGTTGTCATAGTTAGCGTTAGCATTTTTCCCATTGAAATGAATGAGCGGTCCCCATAAGAATATGTTTACCCTACGTGTGCGTGTGTGTGTGTGTGTGTGTGTGTACATGTTCTCCCCTTGTTCACATAGGTTTCTGAATACGTGTGACTGTGCGCCCTGTGACAGTCTGGGATTTTCTCTGCTCTCTGCCCTGGGTGTGAAGCGGAACATTCCTTTCTGCTGATATTTGTATGGATGACGGGACCTTCACGTGTCACTCTGTCACACTTGTGTTGTTTTGCACACAGTCACTGTTGTTAATTCACTTTTTATTCGTACCTGGTACAGGCTGCTTTCCCAGTCACACTCGCTTCACTCCAGCTGCTCCTGCTTCTTTCACATGGATGATCTGCTTTACATTAAGCTTTTCATTGAGACTTCATTGAGCTAATTTACAGAGTAAACTTAAGTATTGCATATGTTCCCCTTCACATCATTACCCCGTCATGTACAATAATCACATAATATGTATATAGTTAAACATGGACATACATCCGCTAGTTTGCCCCTCATGTAAACTGCCTTAGGCTGCCCCTTTAAACTCTCATCCAGACTCCAGAAGTGTAACTTTGCTGGGAGCCCAGGGCGAGTGTCCAGGCGGCTGCTGGTCCCGGCTGGACTGGACATCCTGCTCACTGTGGACTTAGCTGTATCTGCTGAATCCTGTATGTTTCAAAGTCTTCTGGAGTGGTGTCTGCAGGGATGGAGAAGCTCAGATCAGTGTGCAGGTGGATGTAAATGCAGCCAAGCCGGCCTTTGTGTTCAGCAAGCACATTTACTGCCGTCACCATCTGCTAAATCCTTTAGATGATGGGCATTTTGTCTGGGAATGAGCAAGGATTCCCAGCCAAGGTGACCACTGTGATGCCAGTCAAGCGGGTGGCATGGAAGCGTAGAGGAGAGCGAGCTGGGCTCACAGAGCCGGGCCGGCTGGTCTTCAGCGCCCCTGGTTCTGGGGGTTAAGGGTCTTGCTCAGAGACTCGGTGGGTTTGGACGGGCGTAGTCCTAACCCACTGAGCCACACACTACCCCCAAATGACCTAGTTAGTACTATTAGACCTAGTTAATTCTGTCCAATACAAATATGATAGGAATTTATATTGGTGTTGTTTGTCACTCATCTGGAGGTCAGGCTGACCACTGTGTCACTGTGACCACTGTCCTGCTCACGCCTGGTTGTGAGCCCCTCGCGGTTTATCTCACCATTGCAGCGGTAGCGTAGGTCAGCCCAGATGATGTTCTCCTGCGAGAAGCAGAAGACTCCCAGCCTGCCGCCTCTCATGGTGGTGTCAATGATGATGCCTGAGTCTGCTACCATCTTAGGGCCCTCGTAGAAGCGCACTCTGAGTGGTGGGAATAAGCCGTGTTCAGCCCCTCACCCCCTTAAATGCCGGCTGCTTCCCCTTTGGCCGGCCCCCACGCGCGGTACCTGATGTAGCCATCGTGAGGCCTGTGCTGCAGAAACCAGCGGTACGACGTCTTATCCTTCCAACCGACGTTGCGGGAGTCTTTCCACAGGAGCCGGACCTGGCCGCCGGTGTCGCCCGTGTGCCACAGTGAGTTCCGCAGGTGCTCTCCCGGCCCTGTGCCGGACTTCACTGCCTGGCCGGTACGGAGAAGACCGCAGCCGACGGAGGCCATTAGTCCCTCTGCAAGGTTTTCTTAAAGAACTTAGTCGTGTGGTTTAGAATATTACAGCTGTTAAATTTAATGTATGCATAAGTGTTTATGACTGATCTATAACAGCCTGCAGGTATCCTGATGTACATGTGTGCCCTGCGGCGGACTGGGCTGCAGGCTTTAGGCAGCCATGTGATTGATAAGAGGCTGGAAATACAAGAGAAAACCTATGCATGATGCTGTGTTCTGTGGGACGTATCACGCGTGCAGCACCTTCAGCTGGATGCCCGGCTCCGCCACGGCTCGGAAGGGGTTGGCCTGCCAGTAAATCTGCTCCACCTGCTTCCACATGACCACGTAGAAGCTGGAGCTGTCCTGGTAGCCGAAGATGAAGCCGGCGTAGTCGTCGTCTGTCATTGTGTTCACGTGAAACGTCCCTTCAAAGTCCACACCATTGAAAGCTGTGTAACCTGGCGGGAAAAAAGCAGAAACGCAGCGAAGATGACTGACCCTGGATCAGCCTGGAATTACTGCTGGTATGATGTCATCATAATCTGTGATGCAGAAGTGCTTTAGTTCTGCAGGTGAGCAAATGAGGTGAATCTGATCTCTATGCTGGTTCGTTCTGACTAAGCAGCTCTTCTGTACTGAACATTATTAAATGACGACTTGTCTCACCAACAGCCAGTCCAGGGTCGCTGTTCATCGTCTGAACGATCTCTCTTCCCTGTGGGCAGCCAAACACATATAACATGCAGAGCAAGCACTGTGTTGGAAAACAGATTTCAAGCATGTATCATCATCATCATCATCAGTTATACATTTATAATACCACCGTGATGCACTGGCACCCCGTCCATGCTGTAGTCCTGCCTTGTGCTTCCTGGCCCCTCATAAACACTCATTGTGCCCTCACAGTCAGCATTGGTGCAGATGGCATGGTCATTGTGATGATTGAGTCCATCCACCTTGTAGATGGTCATCCTCTTCCGCTTTCATTTTCAGTTCTTCTAAGCATTATGTTCTTCAACAAACTAGGTCATCTCACAATATACCCAGACTAAGCTTTTGTCCAGTTTTTTGTGCGTCAAATGAATATTCAAACTTGACTTGAGTGAGAATCCACTTTTTTGTGGTTCATACTGTTTTTAAAGGTCTTCTCCAGCGATGAAGTTCAAAGGTATCAATACTCTTCCAGTCCTGCTTTGTCATTGTCTGACTTTCATGTCGCAGCAGAAGATAGCATATTCAGAACTATTTTTACTTGACTATTCTGAGAGGTTCCTTCTTTCTTAGAAGAAATCCAATGACAGATCAGAGTCCCAGTCTGCAGTGAGCTTCTTAACTGCTGGATTCTTTGCTTATGACTCTTCCAAGCAGCCAGAAGCTATCTGTGAGCTCTAATGCTTTCACCGTCATCAGTAAGTTCATGTTGTTGCTCCTATGGTCATAACCTTCATGTTCTTCCCATTTAGCCAAAGTCCCATCTTTTCATTTTGACTTATACATGTCTTCAGTATATTGAAGGTAAGCATGCACTGCAGAATACAAAGTCTAATTCTTAAATTAATGCCACTCCCTTCCCAAGCATGCAATGAAGACTGACCTGGTTTAACACCACCCAGTTAGGGTCTATCTGCGCATCCCCTTCAGGGTCTAAGACCACGGTCTGGAAGGCACGGAAGTCGGTCAGGGTGACCTCTGCATTCTCCGGGCAGACATCGATGGTGTCAACGAATGTGTCGTTGTCAAAGTCGTTCTCACAAAGGTTGCCAATACCGTCACCTAGAAGGATGAACACCAGGCAAAATATCTGAGGCATGCATGCAAAAATCCCTCCACGTTTTTATTTGGACATGCTTACTGAGCCCACAAACACACAGATAAATGGAGAGGTTTACCATCAGAGTCCTCCTGAAGGGGGTTAGGGACAAGCCGGCAGTTGTCTGGTCCTGGGGGCAGTAGATCTGGGATGCCGTCATTGTCATCGTCGTCGTCACACTCGTCTCCAAGACCGTCTCTGTCTGTGTCTAGCTGTGAGCTGTTTATGACAGCTGGACAGTTGTCCCGTGAGTCCTGGTGGCCGTCTCCATCACTAAACAGGGAGGAGAAGGTGGACATCTTTGGATAAAATACTTATTTGGAAAACAATAACCGTATCCCTAAACCTGATGAACTTTCCAGATCTAAAACTTGAATGATCCCTGGCAGAAGTAGTACCTGTCCTTGTTAGTGTCACATGGATCTCCGATCAAATCATTGTCTATGTCCATCTGTGGGGTGAAACATAACAATCAGTGATTCAAATAGACAACATCAACACTGTGAAACACTGTATGCCAGAAAAAAACCGAGAATAAAGACAGACCTGGTCTGGGTTGCGAACATACGGACAGCTGTCGCAAGCATCTCCGACTTTGTCTCCATCTCTGTCCTTCTGGTCAGTGTTAGGCACCACTTTGCAGTTGTCGATATTGTTGGGGATCCCTAAAAAGAGGGGGGGTACAGAGGAGAATGCGACGACAGCGCTCGATTCTTAGTGCACTTGATCTGCAAGCAAAGCGACTGACTGTAAGCGTTACAGTGGAGGTACACTGACCATCGCCGTCGATGTCATCGTCACAGGCGTCACCATTGCCATCGCCATCAGTGTCCTTCTGATCGTTGTTAGTCATCAGGCGGCAATTGTCGCAGGCGTCACCGAAATCATCTTGGTCCACATTCCTTTGGTTCACATTAGCCACTAACACACAGTTGTCCTACCAAAAGAAAAGGAATCTGGTCAGGTCCGTAAGATTCGCTGTTTGTAATCACAGTGGATTTCTAAAGCAGGAACGATTATATGATTATGGCTTGTGCCAGAACTGGCCGTTAGCACATCCTGCACTGCAGGAATATACCTCAAGGTGTCCCTGTAAGCACTCCCAACTCCGTCATCATTGGACAATCAGCTTAGCATAATTAGGATCAATGTATCTATTTATATGATTATTGTATTGCTGAATTGAGAACACAGTTAGTAATAAGAGATATTGATTCACCAAACAAGGTGTACAAAATGGGTGAGTTCAACAAATACATGGATATTTTGGGTGGTAACTCTACTTAAGGCTTTGAAAATCTGACACATTTCAACAGACAAAGTCAGTTTTACTCCAACATAAACATAATTCAATCATGATTTCCTGTGGCTGCCTAAGATTCTTGCACAGTGCTGTATATTTCTGACGCTTCTCTCGTTGTAGCAGTGTCCCTCTGTTCCAGGAACAGACCAGTGACTCTAGCAGCGCTCTGCATTTTGGACTTTGGGTTTTGTAGAACCGTAAAAGGGCTGGCAATCCGCATAGCCTGCCTTCCCTGCCTGAGCCAAATGGCATTTGCCTTCCGTTTGTGTTCGAGTGACTGAACTGGCCAGAGAATTCCTTCATGCCCACGCACTGTTAGCATTCGCTGCATGTGGGTTTGCCCAGCACCCTGCATTTCCGTGTTTAAATCATTTCAGAAGAAGAGAGTAATCTTGCGAGGACACGTGTAATTTTGTGAATCTGACACGCTTAACGTAGGCTACATTCACTATTTAGTGGAGGGGTGTCAGGCAGGCTGATGGCCTATAGGTGAGCAGGATTAGAAAGCAAATCACAGTCTCTCATTAACAGTTAGCAGAGTGGTAGGTAAGGGGCAGGTCGCATGCTGCTCAAAGTTTGTTATATCAGTTTATAAGGTCGTTCTTTATTTTGGCAAAGGATGTTAAAATAAAAAAAGTTAAATGGAACATCTGCTTAACTGATTAACTTAGAGTTCATGGTAATAAACTGATGACTGTGACATGTATGGCTCAGAACTGTTATGGGGATGTTATGGGAATACAGAGGCAATGAAAAGTCCAATAATGAAATAGCATCTTTTCTCAAAGATATAGTTGCATTAGTATAGACGATGGATAGTTGTGTAACTGAGATTTGCTGCAGTACCGCTGCGGTCACTGACCAGAGAGGGTCGCTGTACTGACCTCTACGTTGAAGATCCCATCCCCATCAGCGTCTTCGTCACAGGCGTCCCCAATGCCGTCACGGTCTGCATCTTCTTGACCTGAGTTAGGCACTGTCAGGCAATTATCCTAAAAAGTGCAGAGGGATTATCTCTCGAGGGCCAGCGCCTGTGAGGAGCCGCCATGAGCATCGCGCATGACGCTCACCTTCACACAGCTCTTCTGGGGACAGTCCAGCTGCTGGTCGGGGACGCCGTCGATGTCTATGTCAGGGCCGCAGACGTAGCCATCGCCAGCCCATCCCACGCCACACTGCAGACACGCCACAGTCAGCCCACCGCCTCCAGGCCACATCCTCAACTCTCGTATACATCTTTGTACAAGATATGTACATCTGTTAACGCTTCTTTGTTAAATTGATATGTGGAAATTGGCATGTCGATTTCAATGATATTTCCATCTAGTTAAGATTTATTTTATGGCCTCACAACCCGGACCAAGATAAGCATTTGGAAGATGGATTGTTGTGCAGGATTCCTCTGGTTACTCGCTTTCCGCCTGCGGCCCAAAAACATGTGGTTGGGTGATCAGTGTCTCTAAATCGCCCTTAGTGTGTTTGTGTGTGTGTCTGTGTGTCTGTGAGTGTGCGTGTGTGTCTGTGTATCTGTAAGTGTGCGTGTGTGTCTGTGCGTATGTGTGTCTGTATCTGTGAGTGTGCGTGTGTGTCTGTGTATCTGTGAGTGTGCGTGTGTGTCTGTGCGTATGTGTGTCTGTATCTGTGAGTGTGCGTGTGTGTCTGTGAGAGTGTGTGTCTGTATCTGTGAGTGTGCGTGTGTGTCTGCCATCCTGCCCCCCCCTTGTGCCTGGTAGACAGGCTCCAGGTTAATACCGTAACCCTCTTACTGAATAAACACGGAAGATGGATGGATGGATATTCCAGTGTACACTGGAAAAACGGTAGGCAGTTGTGTGGCTATGGTGCCGCCTTACCACGCACTGGATGGTCCCGTCGCGGTGGACGATGCAGTCCGCGTTGCGATGGCAGGGATTGGACTCTCCGCAGGACTTCTCCAGTTTGCAGCCACGCTGCTGGTCCCCAACGTAGCCCAGCTTGCAGGGGCCGCAGCGAAAAGAGCCCTGAGACCACAGAGTGTGGATTTTCACGTGGCCACGTCCCTAGGAATCCAGCAGCGCCCCCTACTGGAGGATGGCATGGGTACAGAATTACACGTCAAGAAGAAGTCCTTACCGGCGTGTTGGTGCAGATGGAATTAGCCACACAGCCGCCGTTTGTGTCTCCCTCACATTCGTTGATATCTTTGCAGACCTTTAAGGAGAAAGTAAGGAAGAAACTGATTACTTCATTTGGAAGTTATTGATCCATCCATTCCTTAGTCTTCTAGCTGCTTGTCTTTGTCAGGGTCGCTGGATATAAAGCTGGACTCAACCCTGCACGGGATACTGGCAGTCACTGTGAGAAAGGTTAAGAAGCCAGTGAGCTTAACTGCAAGTCACCGGACTGTGGTAGGAAATCCACAAGCAAACTGCAGAGACACAGAGCAGAGGCTGCACTCGAACCCTCAGCCCTGGAGATGTAAGCCCTGTGCTGCACCTTATTGATGTATATCTACATGGGAGGAGGCTGCATTAATTGCTCCAAAAATCAGCTGTTCCCAGCATTTCATATTTTCATGTCATGCGTTTTCCCTCCTTTCGGGGTCCCCTGTGTGTTTTTTTTGACACCGTCTACTGGACTGTCAGACGTCATTCGCAGTCAGTAAAACAATGGGATAAAGAAGCAGATTTGTGGTAGTTCTTTACCTGTTTGTTAGCGGTGGCATAGGAAAGTCCCGCCCCCTGCACCTGGGGCCCCGTGTAGCCAGCAGGACAGGGGCCACAGTGGAACCCAGGGGCCGTGTTGGTGCAGAGCGCCCCCTTATGGCAGGGCTTCATAATGCACTGGGATGAACACAACAGAGCACACTGAGAAATGCAGGTGGAGGACATTTACAGCACTGGGTGGTTCCCTCTACTGTAGCTGCCTCATGCCAGTAGCACTGGTCACTCAGTGATCTTAATTGGGTATCTGTATCTATGAGGACTTCCTGTGCAGTTTGCTGCATGCTGCTCTATTATCATTAACTGGGAAAGTGAACCTCGTCCACATCGGTGCAGTGGGTCCCGTTTCCCACCATGCCCTCGGGACAGGGCCCACACTTAACGCCCCCGCCCGTCTCCATGCAGGGCACTCCGGGGTGGCAGGGGCTGGGCACGCAGGATGGCTGCGGAGGTCTGTCGTTTCGCATGCCTGTGGGACAGCAAGCAGAACCGGCTAACAGCCGCGATAACACCAAGCAACCCAAGGCTAAATATGCAGGAAGAGCATACAGTGATCGTGCAGTGCTGTCTATGCAGTGAGAGCGCATAACTAAACAAAGTAGGTTTCCAGGTGCTGCGTCTCTTCAGAGCCCCGTTCTAAGGAGGGGAGCAGCTCTTATTAAAAGATTCCCTTCCGCTGCTTTTGAGGCCAGAGCATCGTCCCTGGTAAGCTGGTAACACGTCTGCACTCCGATATTAAGGAAAGGATTAGAAATGTCACTTTACCGCAAGATTCACACTCCATCACCGTGTTCTTCAGGAAAATAATCTCTTTGATCTGAAAAAACACAGCAGGGTGGTTTGTTAGCTCAATAAGTACTATTGTACAAACAAGGCAGTACATGTTGCCATGGTAACAGGCAGACCCCTCATCTCAGCCTCTAATCGGCGACTTACCTGCTGTTTCAGTAGCTCCTTGATCTCAGCCAGCACCTGATTGGTCCCTTTTATTTGCTTAATGATCTCGCCATCTGTCAGAACAGTGGAAACATGTCTAAGAGGTACTGTGTTATGCACATCAGAAGCAGCTTGTTCCTCACCCAGTGAGCTCTTAGAAATACATTGGTAACAGAGGGGTGCATCGAAAATAATAACTGCCTATCTAGAAAATTCCATCTTAATGGGGAATTTCAGCATTTCAAAAATGACCCAAAAGTTGCCTCGAGTCAGAGAGCCTGTTACTTAACGTAGAGGGGCAAACCAGGGGGCATTTTGACGCAACAGGTTGAGCTGGAGGGTTTTTTAATGCAACAAGTCGACCCAGTGCATTTTTTTAATGCAACAAGTCAAGCAGGAGGGCAGTTTAATGTGAGGAGCCAAGCCAGAGTGTCATTTAATGCGATATGTCAAGCCAGAGTGTCATTTAATGCGATATGTCAAGCCAGAGTGTCATTTAATGCGATATGTCAAGCCAGAGTGTCATTTAATGCGATATGT